CTAATTTTTCCATTCCTATTTCCGGAGACAAGTTTTTCCACTATCCTGTGCCTACTGCTGATAACATTCTCTTGCTTGGTGATGTAGTGCTTATTCTTTAAGCATTAATTGACTACCAAGTGTGTACTTGTGTAGCCTTGTGCACTATGTGGAGATATAAGAGACTTCTTCAAATACAAACATAATTTCTGTCCTCTAGTGGTTAGGCAGGAGTTCTTTCACTCAGTAAACATTACTGTACCAAGGCATTATGTCTGCCAGGCTCTGAAAACCCGAAGTTAAACAAGGTATGATCTCTGCCCTCCAGGAGCTCAGTATAACTGAGCAGACCAAAGACAATAAGGAAAAACTTACACAAAGCAAAGTTCAAATACATTTCACTTAACATAAGAGTTTGCCCCAAGTAATAAACATGTCATTTAACAATATTCTAGAAATGAGTAGTTGTGTCTGCCTTCCGATGAGCTCCTCTGCAGCTCATTTCTGCACTGCCCCTGTTCCAGGTTCGTGGGGTTCAGGGCTCTAACTGCATGATGATACCACTGGTGTCTCTTGTATGTCCACTACCCTTTTTTCTTTAATCAGCAGCATCATATATATTATCTCCATCACCCCCAATTATTTCTCTCCCTACCTCTTTCCATTCACAGCCTAATTATTTCAGATTTTTGTTCCATGCTGTCCACATTATCACTAACTTCATTTCCCCACCTTCTTCCTTTTCCAGCAGAAGACCAGTTCTCTCAAGAAACTCTCCTCCCTTTTCTCTTGTTTCCTGGGTTCATTCCTTTTCATCCTATTCTTTTTCTAGCCATTTTTATTTGTGAATCATAAGACAGTTTGGGCCATTACTGCTTAACAGTTTTGTTCAAAATCCCTCTTAGGTTTCCAGCTACATGTTTTTTGTTCTCCAATTAGACCTGTATTTTGTTAAGTGCCAGTATTACATTTTTTAAAAATTTCTTACTCCTTTTTTAATGTTGTTTACTAGTACTACTTATATCCCTTTTCTACCTTTTTATTGTAAAATACTCTATATTATCCTTCTTATATGTAAGCTAATAAAGAGTATTGAACCTCTGAGAATCAGAAAATTTGGTTCTCCTACCTAAAAATTGGGGCAACATGTTATTTCATTTCTCTTAGGCTTAGTTTCCTTAGCTGTAAAATAGAGCTTGTAGTTCATCCCCTGTCTTCTTCATAAAACTGTTGAGAGTAAAGTGTGAACATATGCTAGGGCTCTAAAGCAATATACAGATATTAAATATCTTCCTCCTCACTAGTTATGCTGTCTTTTGTCAGCAAGGCTAGACACACTGTCACCTGCATTTTGATAGCACTGTTTCAGTGGCACAATGAGCTCAGAACTCCAAATGGAGAGTTTTAAAATTATTTCTTGCTCGGTTGAGGATTACTAGTAAAACTCACATGCATCTCTCTCAAAATGCAGAATTCACCTTTAATTTAGAAGTCCAGAAGTCACCCATTTAATCAATAGGACAAAAATATTTTCCCTTGGAGTTCTTTTAGGAGTTGGGGATTGAGACGAGCATATGGTTTATCTTCTTAGAAGGAAATAATGTAAATAAATTCTGCAGTTCACATTAACATACTTAACACTTATATATTTAGTTTGAAAAAAAAAACATATCAGAGAAGGCCAGATCTGATCATATCACACTTAATGAATTATCCAAGAGGTCTTTTTAACCTAAAGGTTTCTGAGTCAAGAACCTCAGTTCCAGTTAAAGATCCCACACCCTTCACAGGGGAGCTATTCAACACCATAGATCTCTGCCATCTTCTCAGTTTGGCTTGGGCTCTAGCTCCCTTTTATCCCCTGGGAGAACCATGACTGACATTTTGTTCTTTTGGGGGGCTGGCAGAGTCAAAACAACACTCCATAAAACTTGTTATTGGCAGGCTCTGAGGAAGTGATTCAAATCCACCTCTAGAGGGCTTCAAATAATATCAATATTATCTTATTCCAGTTATGGGCCGAGTCAAAATTTATGTACATGTGCACTTTTTTTAATAGCTTGAAAAGGCTGGAACAATTTCTGAGGGTGGGTAAAAGAAAGGACAATAACTTACTAATTAAGAGATGACGTGGAAAAATACTTGCAAAATAAAATGAGAGAATAGAGGGTCTAAGAGAATTAAATGTGTTAGCCAGAGGAAATGTGTGTGTGTGTGTGTGGGTGGGTGGCTGGGTGGGTGTGGGTGTGCATCCTCCCTCATATAACATTCATATATGAAGTTATAGCTTAAGAAAAAAACATTCCAGTTTGAAGAAAGGGTAATTGAGAAAGTAATAAAATCCCTTGAAGATGGGATCAGTATAATACTAATTATACTTTTATAAGCTAAATTCTTAGAGTGTAAGTAGGAAATACAGTACATTGTAACTGAAGTAAGAAATGTAAACAGAGTGCCTAATGTAGTTAAAAGTGATCTTTACTTGGATTTTCTTGTACTCCCTTCTCCCTATGTGCTCAAGCTATCAGAGTGCCTTTTTGATCTAAGCCCTTTTTGTGTGTATTATGTTCTTGCTTTGATGAAATCTACTGGAAACACTGCAAACAAACATAGCTATTGTTAAATATAACATACACACAGTTCATGGAGACCCACACTCATGACCTGTTTTGAGCTGGTGTTTGGAACCACTGTCTTGTTTCTTAGACACCAGTAATAAGTGTGTCTTTTAGCCTGTGTCATTATCAGGTTATTCACTGATCGTGGATAGTACAATTTTCATAAGACTCTGCATTAAGAAATTTTTGTTGTTTTCACATTTTGCAGATTACTTTAGGTTAAAAAAATAATAATAACAAACAAAGGTTTGTCCTATCATTTGAAGATTTTCAAATATGCTCACTGAGCTGAATAAGTTTCAGAGATCTGATATTAGCTGTTTTGTATGTTGAATGTGTCCTTTTAATCTTCCTCTCAATGTTCTTATATATCTTCCTCCCACACCCAAAAAGCATATACTGGTGAGCCACCATGCGATGAATAGATTGCATGGAAAACAGAAACAATAAGAGAGGTGTTGTGTAAATATTTAAATAATAATGCAGTGTCATTTTCAAATTTTAAATATTTTGAAATCAGCATTTTGAGTCAAGAATTAGACTTGAAGTTAGCTAACTTTCAAAATTGTAAATCAAGAAGTGATGCAGGGGACAGTATGGAAGAAACAGGGAGCACCCTAACTGCATCAGAGATGTGCTGCTCATTTCAGGGTACCTCGGGTACCACGGGAAACATGTTAGTTACACAGGAATGAAGAAGTTTGCAAGTGCATCTTTAAATACCCTTATATAGAGAATTATTTTTTATTCTGGGATTACCAATTTCTTAATTATATATAAATTAACAGACATCTGCTTTCACCAAATAGATTTTGGCTAAGCCTTACAAAATTTGTATAAATTTAGTTTTCTTTTTGAACCAAATCAGCATTAACATTCCTGTTTTCAAGGAACAGTTGATTATTTAGTTAATAATTTTAATAATTAATGAGCTATGAAATGATAATACACTTATTTAAATTTTACTTAAATTTTTTTTCAGGAAATGAAGTTATCTATGTTCATTTGAAAGTAGTTACTTTTCTGTATACTTGGGGAACTAACATATTCAGAGAAAAATTTATCCAAAAAAAAAAAAAAAAAGAATCCTCTTTATGCTATTAACTGTGGTTCCCCAGCCCTTGGGGTTCATTGGCAAATCGAGCTCCTATGGACTTCAGAGGATCCTTGTTCTCAGATCTTCCCTGTAGGGTGCACAGCAGGACAAGATATAAGCTGTATTTCCACCAGTTCATCTACCTGTCTCTGCTTTACAGTTTAACTATATTCCAAAACAGCATATATTCTTCTGAGAATAACTCATTCATGAAATTTTAATTTTTATGACATAACTTTGTTTTAGTTAAGTCAAAATCTTCAGAGCAATTTTCTTTTAAAAATCTAGAACTTATTCAAAAACAGAATATAAAATAGAAATGGCTTAGAAAAACTCTAAAATCTGTCTTCCATTTGAAATAACAAATAAAAAATTTTAACCTTGAAGTTGGTTTCTACAAGTCAATAAATTAGACCTTGAAAGAGTCCCTCAGTCACAGTTGCAGTGCTGTGTGAACATGCTTTATATGGCAGTGCCATTCTGTATTTCCTGTTGGTATGGAGTAGCAGATGACCTCCCACAGCTAACATTGCACAGTAATAACAAGACTAGCAAATTTAAGTAGAATATGAAGCAATATGCAGCTAACTTATTAGTGTTTGATTAGATTGCTCCTATCAGCCATTTTATCTTAAAAGAGCATTTCAAAGTAAATCTACTCAAACTAATGATAGGAAAAGATTCTAAAGCAGTTTACTTTGGGCCTTCTTTTCCTCTACAAGTGCACATTGGATTCACAAGTCCTCAGGTAGTTCTCTTGTTCCTAACTATACTTGTCAACCATCTTCCTTTTTCCCTACAGTTCATATAAACAAAAATAGTTGAAATAGTGTTACTACGTAAGCCACATGTAGAATTAAGGGGAAATATTCTCAAACAGTGAGCTTTTGAAGTTTGTTTAGTAAAATCACCAAGGCAAGTTACTGTTCCATCGTTCCTGATCAGTGGGTAGGCTCTCTTCATCATGCCCCTGCTGAGAATGTTTTTTAAACTCTATGGTTCTAGGAACTCTATAAGCTGAGGGTGGGAAATTGAATAAACATTGATTCTGAGATGAAAAAGAAAGTTGTGGTGGGTTATTTTGGGGTTTTGTTTGTTTGTTTGTTTTTTAATTTCCATTTGGGAAAGATTAGTACTTGTCAAGGTGTAAAGAATGAACTAGGATGCACAGTAGAAGTCTAAGATTAGAATTATAAGTCTGCTTTGTCCTTAGAGATGCTGCTGTAGATTTCATTTTTGAAACACTACAATGCAAGAGGGAAATTAAAATCTTTAACAATGCCTTGTTTTCTAAATCTTGTTTACAGAATTCACCCAATAATATGAGCCTGAGTAATCAACCGGGCACTCCAAGGGATGATGGCGAAATGGGGGGAAATTTCTTAAATCCTTTTCAGAGTGAGAGTGTAAGTATTCCTTTGCCTACATTATTATGTCCAAAATTGATTTCTGAAGCTTTCCTTTTAGAATTATTCATAAAGCCATTATTATGATTATTTATCTAGAGCTCAGCAGGTTGATATTTCAAAAGTTAGAAAATTAAGTGAAATTTCTTTGGAATAATTAAAAAAATAAACTTGTTCTTTTTTTGCTCCTATTCTGTACACATAGTTACAAAAACAAAAACTATAAAACAAATTTTCTTGTACAGAACATCCACTATAAAGGAACAATGCTGGAAACAAGTTGCATATTGGATAGTTTTTACAAGTTTTCACATTACTAAAATGGCTTGAGTCACTGCAAAACCAGGTCTGTTCTCAGATCTAGACTCTGAATGTCCTCTGCAAGATATCTACTTCATGCACTAGACATCACTCAAGAGAAGGCCAGTATTGGTGGTCATTTAGCCTGTTATTTCCTTGTAACCTGAGCTGGACACCAGAGTCATTTTTTGAATATGATTACTGCGTTAAGCAAAGGCAGTATTCCATATCTCCATAGAAGCAGACAGGAGCAAAAAGAGAAGTAATAAAATTCATTCACTCATTTAACAATTACTGAGCACTTAAAAACAGGCCAAAGCAATATGCTACACACTGGAGAGACCAAAAAGACAATATGGTATCTTTTCTCAAGGAGTTATTACATAAAACAGTGATTTTTTAAACCTAATATTTCACACTAAAAACACCTACAGAATTTTTAAAAAATACATTTTCCCAGAACTCTCCCTAGACCTAGTGAATCAGAATTTCTAGGAGTGGTACTGGGCATTCTTGAAAATGAAAAAGCTTTGTCAGTGATGCTGATGTACATTCTCTGCTAATAACTTCTGAATTGGAATATAGCATAAAGGATTTCAAAATCCAAACTAATTTCATCTTTATAGCATCAGTGCCCACACATACGGATTTCCATCATTAAAATGAGAGGAGAAAACTTCCCTCATTTTGCCCTAACACAACCTTCACTAGAGGTGATACTATTAGAATTTGAAACTGTGGCTAGTAACAAATATGCTTTTGCATGGAGTAGCTGCTTTGAGCCTAAGATTGGGTGTTCTGTGGGTTCTTTTACTTCTTCCTATCAACCTAACACCTCTGCGTGGGATAAGACTTTCCCTGTTTTTAGACTTTAGTTCTGTTAAAACTAGAAATAAAATTATACTAATCTTTATCTGTATAAATCTTATACTGATCTTTATCTGTACATGATTAGTGAGGACAAAGAATGTACACATAAAAATTCATATAAAAAAATCAGAAGACTAGCTTGTCATAATGCTTAGGATTATAGGAACCATTTTTTAGATACTGGTTTTCACTAGTTTGCTTCAAGACTATGGACAAAAATTAAATGGACTACCATTTTAATTAGTTAATGTTGGCTTTATCTAATTAGAAACATTTATTTCCTTTCTTGCTAATTCTTTCAACAATAAAATGGTATAATTCAGTGAGGTATGTGATACTTAGTTTAGTCCAACATTTCTTGAGCCTCTAATATGTAACGTGCTTGGTTAAGGACAAAGTATTCTGAGATAAATATAACACGTCACTAACCTCAAAGAATGCCATTTGATGGGAAGAACATGGTTAAAACTAATTAAACCCTAAGTCAGATTAATAGGTGTTATAATAGATATAAGCCAGTTTGTTTTTTAAGTATAAAGGAAATTATTAATTTGGGATTGGAGAAGAAAACTTTTTTAAAAGGTCCCACATGACTGTTGTTTCGGGGACAGGGACAACAGACCTCTCCCCTCTCCTTTCCTAGATTAGTCCTTGGTGACTGCTGCCTTGTTATACTTTCAGCAGAGAGGTGCCACTTTAGAGCTGGCATCAGAGAGCTCTCCATGGGGATCAAAGAATCAGATATCACAGGACCTGAAAAACTTCTTTGCATGGAATAAATAAGAGCCTCACCCTTTAACCTTAACTGGACTATGCACATGCAAAACAGTCAATCTTTTTCTAAGTATGTGCATAGGAAAGAGAGCATCTGGAGCTGGGCTCCTCCCATCCCTGACTCCTGGCCCAGCCTTACTATTCCAGAAGCCAAGAAGAAGGTAAAATGCCAGACTGCTGTATAGAGTTAGCAGAAAACAAAAGCTCCCTCCCATCCCTTCCTTCCCTCTGTCCTGTCCCACTTGAAAAGCCCCCAAAGGAAAAACAATTGGATGATGATTGAGGAACTGTACCACTACCTGGAGACAGTGCAGCCTTGTAAGCATGTCCACACTAGCTGCTCCACTCTTTTGTCTGCCCGTTGAGGACTCTGCTGTATTATGAATGATGCAATTGTTATCCATGGCTTTCTGCATCACATCACCACACATTTTTGTTTAGACCTTTTTAAAAGTTCAAGAAATGAGGAGCAGAGAGAAAGGAAGACAAAAGACAAATCTGAGGCATTAAAGTAAATTAAAGTAAAAATAGGCTAGGTATCCAATAAGTTAGCTTTCCCGTAATCAAGGAAAAATAGAACCATATAAAGAATTCAAAAAGAAATCATTTTTGAATGAATGAACATGTATGTTCTAGTGTTTTTATAATGTATATAACTCTGAAAAGCACATACTTTGGAGTAGTCTGCCTTTTGAGGATTTGTCAGTCCTATCTTGAAGTCAAACCACATAAGGAGGCCTGGAAAGAGTGAACATCTACTGAGTGCTTTTTATGTAGCAGCCACTATCCTAGTCACTTCACACATGCTACTTCATTTAATTAATATTTATAGAAACAAAATACCCAACCCAGAGTCAGAAACCTTGCAGTGCCAACATGCAACTCATAGAAAAATCTGAATCAAATGTTTCACTACTCAGCCTTTTTTTGGAATCCTAAACAAGACCATTATTTCAAGAAACAAACACGCCCCCTAGTGTTCAAATTCTGTAAAATGTTTGTTTTTGAAAATCTAGAATGCAAAAAGGCTTATTTCAGAAAGTAGTTTTTCATGCTTCTCCTGTAAAGAAAGCAGTTAGTCTTATTTATTGAATTAATTTAGCAGAGTATTTTACTCCATGGCAGTGAACGGTAATCAATTGAATAAAAGTGATATTAAAAATCATGGTCTCTACTAGGAATTATAAACAAGATGATAGGTCGTCTCCTATTACCCTTACTCCCCTTAGTCATTTTCTGTTATAAAGGTATCATATACATCCAAATTTTCTTTTATACAGTCACATAAACACTGAATTTATTTCACTTTAGTTCAGTTCAGAGTCGCTGCACTATTCTTTATCTCTCATTAAGAAAATAAAATATATCTAGATGCTTAAAAATAGAAATGATGTAAGATCTGAAGTGTTCTCGAAGTGTGTAAACAGGAATTTATGCACACTGTGCAAAGACTGAATGGGTGTTTGGTGGGTTCCATGCTTTGTGAACTGTGTATAGTAAGGGGAAAATCACAAATTCGCTAGTTTATACCAAGGCATGCCATTTCAAAATATATTTACATAAAAAAGTAAAACCAATTAGTGTACATTTGAAATTATATCTTTAGGGTTTTGTTTGTTTGTTTGTTTTTGTTAAACCAAACAGTTAATGACTTTGTAAGAGCCATTATATCATCTGATTAAGGAGAACCAGACTCACAGAATTGTTTGGAAGCAGGGCAACCTCATATCACAGCGTTTTGGCACAAACATTACAATACATCATCCCATATTGATGCAGCAGTACAATAGAAACATTGTAGTGTCGTCTCCGGACAGTACACCATGAATATTTTATGTCTCTAGATACGAGACGCCATTTAACACCTACTCTTCCTTTACTTTAGGAAAACCGTAAGCCACTTCTCTTACATGTTGAAGAATAGTAATCAATACCCGAATTCCTTTTTGCTTGCACATTCTGTGAGTCTTCCTAGAAATTTGTAATTTCCCTTATTTTACTTGGATGAAGCAGTTTCAATAAAAGCAGTAGCAGATGAGCAGTTTACAACCTCAGCAGTGCAAACAGCACATTGCCCATATGGACGCTCACACATCTATACATATCTACCAAACCAAATACACTTAGAGCATCACTTTACAGTTACTGGTACTATTCAAAAATTATATTAAATGCTTGGGACTTCTTCTGAGTTGTATTGCGTGAAGCAGATGCTTCTATCTTTTCTGACTGAATCTAGCCCTTATTTTTTTTTAATCCTGATCATTCAGAATGTGTATGAAAAGAGATAGTTTCTAGAGTTAATTATGACTTATCTAGAAATTTTTTTTTCAGAAACTTCTTTTGAAGTGCTTTCTGAAATGCTTCAGTATCTTTTACTGTTTTTAGATGATTGCCACCATATACCCATAAAATCCTTTTTCTTAAAACAGTGATTGATGATCTTGCTATGGTTTTTTTTTTTTTTAATTTTTTTTTCAACGTTTATTTATTTTTGGGATAGAGAGAGACAGAACATGAACGGGGGAGGGGCAGAGAGAGAGGGAGACACAGAATCGGAAACAGGCTCCAGGCTCTGAGCCATCAGCCCAGAGCCTGACGCGGGGCTCGAACTCCCGGACCGCGAGATTGTGACCTGGCTGAAGTCGGACGCTTAACCGACTGCGCCAGCCAGGCGCCCCTTGCTATGGTTTTTAAATTTAATTAAAATAAAATTTTGATTTTAAAATTTTCAGCTCCTAAATTGCTCTAGCTACAGTTTAAGAGTTCAGTAGCCATATGTGGCTAATGACTCTTACATTGAACAACAAACAGAATAGAATGTATCCATCATCACAGAAAGTTCTATTGAACAGCACTGATGGGATCACCACTTTTATTGTAATAGTAGCCATAGAAAGCATAGATTACACTTTCCCATGCCCACTTTGCCATATTCTCTAATTTCTTCTATTTAGTAAAAGCTTGGTATCCATGTATTTTCTTTTTTAATTCTTCCCCCTAAAGGTCATATATGCAAATGTAATTCTGTTTGTGAAAGGCTGTGGATAGTTCACTGAAGCTTGCTGTCATTATTTATAATGGGAGATTTGCACGGTATCTTCTGTTGAAATGAAGGCATATCCCCCTCTGGCACAGGGACAAGGTGGGCTCCATTTCATCAGGTTTTGTCTGGTTGCTTTGGGATTTAGGTATTGCTTTGTTCTGCTGTGCTTTTTTGCTGCCACTATCAAGGGTGAAGACGAAGAGGTTTTTCTGTCAAACTGCATCCCCTTCTCTTTGGAAGTCTCCCCCTTTTTATCACCCTACTCACAATCCAACATTAGAGTCAGTGACATATATAATTTAGCTTTCCTAAAAGGAAATTTGAGGCTATTAAGTGATTATCAAGTAGATTTTCCATGATTTGACCTGCATTTAAAGGATTAACAATCATCCCCCTATGATCCAGTGACCCGTTTTCAAGTCCACTCATCCACCTTTTCTTAGGATCAATGACGGTTTTGGCTTGAGCCTAGATTTACCCCTAATGACTTTCTGTCCAGACTTCTACCAGCTGAGCCATTCCCCAGGGCATCCTGCTTTCCCTGTAAAATCTATCCTTCTCTCAGTACACACCTTACACCTCATTTCTGGTTCCTGCAGTACCTCAGCTCATCTAGAATTTACTTCATTCGGTTTGGCCTGCTCTCTTTTTTAAAAGTTCACACTCCCCTTTCCAAGATCATTACTTTTCCTTTGGAATGCCCTACTGCCTGGAACCAATGTCCTTGACTTCACCTGCCTCTTTCCATGAGGCACAATCCTTATCAACATGTTTAAAGGAATTCTCCTTTGGCCTGGTCCTCAGCAAATATTTTTTTAACAAAACATTTAAAATATCTAAGGGTTTACATTTACATTTTCATCTAGAAACCCTGTTCATCTGGAGATCATTGCCATTTGGGAGTGGATGCCCTCCCCACATCTCAGACAGTCTGGCACTATGCTGTCCAAGATGGAACCCACCAGCTACATGGGAATATTTAAGTTTAAATAAATTAAGTAATATTAAAATTACAGTTCCTCAGCCAAACTAGCCCATTTCAGTGGCCACAGTGGCTACCTGTGGCTAGTGTCTTCTGTGTTGAACAGCACAGAAGAAAGTGTTGAAGAAAGTTCTGTCAGACAGTATTGCTCTGGAGCTTTTCTGTCACACACAGTCCATTCCTCAAGAATACAAGTGTAGATAGGCATAATCATCACAAGAATTGCCATCTGTTCCTCTCTCAATAATTTCTGAAAGCCTCACCTTTTACCAATTGTCAGCCTCATCAAACTGAAAGGTTATGTGTAACAACAGTACCCCCTGCTCCCACCCTCAAAATATTGTGGACTGAAATTGGAACCACAGATTAGAGGAAGACACTTACATCCTTAAATGTAAATCAGACTCTTAAGTATTCTAAATACTTTATGAGAACGTCCTAGGGCCAGCTGGGAGTTGTTTTTTGTTTTGCTTTATTCTGTTTCCCTTACACTATTAATTAAACATTTACTGAACACTTTCTGTATATTCAGTAAATACATGGTTTTAAAGATTTTAGATTTAATACTCCCCAAGTTCCTTTAAGATAAATGCTATTATTAAACCCATTTCACCCATGAAGAAACTGAAGCACAAAGAGGTAATATAGTTACTAAGTTTACATAATTAGTAGGTAGTTAGGCTGTCCCTCATACTTATTTCATTATGGATTGGATTTACCCAGATTGTTACAAATGCCCACAAAACATGAATCTGGCTAGAAGGAGACGACTGAGGGCCTGGGTAGTTATCAGCCATCTGAGTGCAGAGAGAGAGGGAGACTGGTCGCTTTCCAGAGGAAATATTATAAATTTCAGGACTTAGTCAATTCTATATAAATTTACTCTTTTATAGCTTCTTATTTTTATGTTAAAGGCTTGAGCATAAAAGATTTCAAGACGTTAAAATCCATGGTTACTACTGTTTACCAAGAAGAACATTAGTGGTCTGTAAAAGAATTATTGTTAAAATATGGATTCTTTTTTCTTTCTAGTACTCCCCTAGCATGACAATGAGTGTGTGATCCATTACCAAGTCTCCTCATGAAAACCACAGTGAGTCAGCCCTTCACAGAACTACTACGGAAGAAAATTATTCATCACAGTGTACAGTTAAACAAAGGAATCTCAGTCACACCAAACCAACCTTTTTATTTCCTGCTCTCTCCCCTATTTTTTGAAGAAAGCGGGTCCAAACGTGATTCAAACAACTGTACAGAGCGGCATATTAGAATTGCCCTAAACTGAACTGCAAATAATTATCTGTGTATGTATATGTGTGGGTCAGAGAATGTATTGTATATGTGTATGTTATACGGACATATGCACATACATACATTGACCCACAGGACATTGTAAAATATTATTACATGACATCTTAAGTAGAAGTAAGTAGGGACTTTTATTCCATCCTTTTTTTCACGTTTACATTTTAATTATTAAAAGTTGCTCCTGCCCCTCCCTGAACTATTTTGTGCTGTGTATATCACTGCTTTATATAAGTTATTTTTTAAGGTGAACTCAGATGTTATGGTTTTGTAAATGTCTGCAATCATGGATAGGAATAAAATTGCTTATTTGAGAGCTTTCATTAAATTGCGTCTGATGCAAGTTACCCTGTGAATTACAAAGTGTACTGTCTCAAAAAAAAAAAAAAAAAAAAGAAGAAGAAGAAGAAGAAGAAGAAGGTGTGTCCTCATCCTCTGTCAGATCAAACAATTTCTCAGTTACCTTTAGTGAAAAGTATTTTGTAGTTTTTATTTAGGAAAACTACTTCAACTGGGGCCCAACATCATATATTTCTGCAAGAATTGCTTTAGATGGAATTCTTGATTTGTCTTTGATGATACAGAAAATCATTAATTAGCCCCACCTGCTTAGACCATAGCAATAAAATGACAGGGGTCGTCATATTTTTAGAAATATATTTTCTGTCTAACATGATGGAGCCCAGAAGTGATAACAAAACCATTTGCTTGAAATTGTCACTTCTCACCAGGAATAGTAGAGCTAAATTTTTAATAACATGCTAATGGAAAATGGTATCTGATTTTTACTCAGACTTCTTGTGAACATTTCCACATAGACACTGCAAAGAATATACATTCAAATGACTGAGACTTTCAGCAGAAGGGGAAAAGAGTTTTTACTGCACCCAAGGGGCTCTGAAGTGCTGCTTTTCTATCTGGGTAACTTGCTTACTAGCCGCAGAACTGACTGGTAACAGTCCCATCTGTGAATACCTCACTAGCAGCAAAGCCCCTGCTCTGTTCCCAGGATATAAGAGTTTTGTTTAGAGGGAAATCATTTGTAGTAACTATATTCATCTGGCCATTGACTTCAGCAGGCTAAATCTGCATTGTGTAACTGTTCAGAAAAGAATGCATAAATGTTAAAAATTAAAGAAAAAAACAAAATACTTCCCTTACGCTAAAGCACATTGTTCTGTGGCGCTTTGCATATCTTTTGGGGGCTTTGTGTTCAGTCTTACATACAGACACCGAAATTATAATAGAAAAATGTGAAGACTTTAATTTTAGACTCCACAAGATAAGTTGGCGATCCTTTCTGTTAAAATTGTGATACAAATAACCATTGGTAAACATCAACTACATATCCAAACTCCAGAGCAAAGAATTTGAAAAAGTATTGTTTAATCGCAGGTAAGAGGAATCCTCCTTCCTTTAGGCTTATGGTCTCCAAAGTGAAAATTTAGCAGTATATTTGCTAGTTCCTTGTCCCAGATGACTTATTTCTCTCAAATCCATAATGATTTATTCCCTCTGAAAATAAGATTTTGCCTGTGCATGACAGGGATGCTGGGCAGAACTGTTGAAGGGGGAAAAAGATGCTGAATTAAATTTATGTCCCAGATTTAAACTCTAATCAAATGAGTCACCATTAATCCAACAGTGTGGGGGAGCCTAGGACTTCACACTGGAGAACAGCTTCAAGTTTTCAAGCTGCAGAGAACTTTCATGAAAAAGTCAAATTAGAAAGTCTTTAACTCAAGCCAAGGTAGTCTGAAGACACTTCGTATAGACATGTGAATTTACCAAGAATAATTTTAACTTTCACTTTTTATAATTGTGTGAACATTTTCAACCCTGTGATTATTAAGCTTAATCTTACAATGCTAGACATTTCAACGTTTTTTGACTATTCATTCCATTGTTACTGATCTTGAATTTCTTTCATTTGCCTTCTAAGAAGGTATTGTTTCTCACTATCACAAAGAATCATGAACCCAATTATACTTCTCCTTATTTCAGGGGTAATATTAGAATATAAATGGCAATATGGATTTCATTACTTCTAGCCCACTTGGTCAAAAAAAAGTAAAATTGGATTTTTCAGCATATAGCAATTTATCATAAGTATTTATTTCTTTTTCTTTCTTGGGGTCCAGATTACAAATAGCTATTGCAATTTTTTTTAATTCCTGAAATAGTTGAAAATTTATTTTTGAAGAGAAAATTGTATTTAAGAAAACCATAAAATAAGAATACTTAATTTTAATATCAAATAACTTTCTCATGCACCAAATGGAGGATAGTAAGTCTGTACAGTAATTTTTGTTTAGGTTTTGAATTATCTAAACTTTATCTTTTTCTCTTGTAATAATACCATTTAACCCTGTTCTCTTATGTTGGTGCATCTCCATCGATGAATGTGTGTTGGTCTTGATATATACTACCTGTTCCTGAGTTATTTTTACATATTTCACCTCACAGGAATAGCATCAGTAATTCTTGCCTACACTGAATACATAAAATACACATATGAAATGTGAAAATAAATAAGTGAAAACATTAATTTTCATTACTCTGCCTTGCATTCTGGCAAACTCACTACGTTAAAAATACATGCCAAGTTTTCTCCAGAGTCTTACAGGAAAATTGCCTGTGGGAACAAAGGCTATGGAGTGCCCTTGATCTGGTAACACCCCACACATTTGATGGGTGAATCCTAGCACTCTGTTACAAGTGTTCTAGTTTGGACTCGATTACTGATGTATAGGAATTGCACAACTGGGAATCTGAGGTTAATATTTCTCTGCTGCCCAAAATATTGACAAATCAGTTCTGCTCCCTGTGCCATGAAAAGTGCCCAAAACACCCTTTTCCTTCTAGGAATATAGAGAAAACTTTGATTTCTGTTCTTATGATTCTCTAGGACAGCTGAACTCTGGTGCATTTCATAGGATCATTCAGTTAACTTTCTTCCTATAGCTTAAAAGGTGATAAATAAAAATAAATGAGTTCACTTTGGGACATGAGGAAGCTCTACATCTGCCCACCCCTTTTCTTTATAGTATTCTGGGAATGTGCAGCAAAGCATTCAAAACTGCTCCCTGGCATAGAGTGTTACACAGTCCTTAATACCGTGAGGTCTTAATTGGCCTCTTCCATGTCTTCCTACATTGCCTCCTTCCCAATCCCTGCATCCTCCAATAGAAATAAGGTACAGACTGCACACTTTTACCTTTTCAGCCCCTACAGTTTTCTTCTTCGTGCATTGTATAGTTTTTCCAGGGGAAATAAGTACAATTTCCTCTTCTTGATTATCACTGTTAATTAGAAGCAGTGCCACAAATCATAGCTACTTGATTTTGGAATGCTTTATAGTATTTTAACACTGGTTTTGCCTTCATTTTTATTTTTTTTGTACTAAAATACTCTTTTCTTGAAAACACTAATTGATGCAAGTATTGTATGAGTGTGTAGTGTGGTAGTGAGAAAATGGGAGTGGGGGGAGAATTGCCACATATATTCCGAAAGGTAAACTAGCCTTTTTTTTTTTTTTAACTCCCTGTCCTAGTGGTGTAAGTTTCTTGTTGACAATGAGGAGCAGGAGTCTGCATTTGCTTAAAACAATGGTGCCCAATCATACACGTGCGTTAGAGGCACCCTGGGTCTGTGAAGTATAACTTGAGAAATACTGGAAAAGTCAAAGAAAAAATGGTGAACCACCATTGGTACCCTTCTGTTTTGCATACTAAACACTTGTGTGGGGGGGGGGGAGGTGTGCGTGTGCGCACATGTGTATATTGGACTGGTATGCAGTTTGCTCACAAAACACTCCCACTATGATTTACATTATGTTATACCATAACTGGTAACTATTAAACATAATTCTTTCCTCTGATTGCTTTTTATTTCATTGGTAAAGTAGCTGATAAAAGTGATTTGGGATGAAAAGAGAGTAATACAAGACCTAAGCAGATGGAATCTCCCGTGCCCAGCTTTAACATACCCATGTTAGCTTTTCCACCTCAGACCTTCTTAGGAAGGCACTGCATCTAAAGGTAAGAGCATAAATGATCTTTTATTCCTTGGTTACCTTAATGCCAGGAATCATACAATAATTATAGTTTTTCTATGTAGATATTTGTTTATAAGAAATTGAATGAACATTATTAATTTATTTCACCAAAAGCATCAACTTTATCCTTGAACTCTAAGTCAGATTGAAAGAGATGACCTACAGATGAAAAACACCTTAGACCCTTTAATTACTTCTCTAAACTGTATTCTAAAGAGAAATTCTCAGTTGAATAAGTCTCCTAAGGAGAATTTCTTGTTAAGTTTCCTGTTAATGTAATTGGTCTTCCTGAAAGAAGAAAATAATTTCTGTAAGTTTAATGTGACTGGCCTTGCTAACTACATCCTTAAAAATGAAATGCAGTACTATCCATAGATATTGCAAATTTTGAAGTGGGACTAAGTGTTTTCATGTATAGAATTACAGTTTGTCTCTTCCCCCTTTGTGAATTTACTCTCCTCGGGATAAATTGCACTTGTTTTGATTATCCTAGTCATTGAAATATTATGTTCCTAGAAATATTTAGCACTTCATTTTTTAAATAAAATGTGCAATTAACATGAGAAAAGTATTAACATTCCTAGAAAAAAATGATATCGAGGATTTATTCCTAGTTAATATTAAAACTTTATCCCACATTGTCTTTTGCATCATATGACCTCAGGACATTGCCAAGGAAGTGAAATTTGGATTCCTCATA